GGGAGTATGAGTTTTTTTACTTAATACTTGTCATGTTTTTTGTATTGAAAACATCGTGTTTGAAACTTTAAATATTTCCAGAATTTAATTATACATATATATTTGCAACTGTTTAATAATTGAAAACGTTGTTCATCATAAACATTTCGAATTTATTAATGTATAAAGATTAGGTGTTAAAACTCATTGTACAATTTCATGTAAATCTTAAGTACGTTAACAAAAGAAAATGTAAAACAAGTATTAAAAGTGTTTACTTTGATTTTTCAACAATTAAAAGTCAAAAATGTCTCTAAAATGACCATGTCGCAACTCGTGCAACGTAAATGCCAAGTAATCTCACGTTAGCAGAGAGACTACTTCCTCTGAAACATTCTTTCACTGCGTGTATATATATTTTAAATCCCAACCTAGAGTGTTTTTCTTTCAAATTTCATAAAAAACCATCGATTCCTACAACTTGCTTATAGTCTTTCAAATCAATGATGCTAATAGTGCAAACTGCGAAAAGAGCTATTATAGGGCTGTCTTCAAGAAATTCAACGCCAAATTACCCTGTCGTGGCTCGACATTACCACGAGAATGTAATAGACCATTATGAGAATCCCCGCAACGTTGGATCCCTTGATAAGAATGATCCAAACGTTGGCACGGGATTGGTCGGAGCACCGGCCTGTGGGGACGTAATGAAGCTACAGATCAGGGTCGATGATGATTCTGGTCAAATCATCGACGCTCGTTTCAAGACTTTTGGTTGTGGCTCAGCTATTGCCTCTTCTTCCCTTGGTACGTATGTTAAATCAAGTAAACAATCATTTCAAATACATAATATTTTTTTTGGGTTAATTACATAATTCATTGAGTCTTTTTATAAATGTGGATTGGAGTTTCAAAATCTGTGATTTGATTTTGCTTTTTCAGCTACGGAATGGGTCAGAGGCAAAACGATGAACGAAGTCCTCACCATCAAGAACACGTAATAAGTGACCATTTTTATTATTTTTCCTTATAAGTTTACAATCATATAAGATGTCAAACAAAAAAAAAAAATTACAATCATATTTCCCTTAAAAAGCTTAAAAAATTCTAAAAACTTAATAAAGTAATTTAAAAAAATGCCACTTTTCAAAGATGCCACATTTTCAAAATCTTTGTAAAAATGCAATTTTTTAAAAATTATTTTTTCATTATATAATTTATGTTTGGATTAACTATGTTGTATTAGGATTTAGTTTTGAGTGTTTATGAGGTTTAAGGGGTCAAAACATTTTTTAGGGTTTAGAATTTTAAGAGATAGGCTTTAAAAGTTCATAATTTGT